AAAAATTTTGAACAAAGTTTGGACATTCAAGTGCTCATATCTTTCACTTAGACATCTCACTCAGGAAGTGAGCCTTGTTGCTTTACAACATAAGTTTTCTTTACACTTTGACCATAGCAAGTGAGATGAACATACCATCCTTAGATAGCTAAAGTACATGGTTACTTTAATGCCTTTTTTGTAAAACCATTTTTCAGAGCGCTTTAGCATGCCTCCATTTCTAAAATCAATCATCTTAGTCTTTTCCAAATTTACATACAGTCCCCACTGGTTACAATACTTCTCCAAACAATTGATCTTCCTTTGCATGTCTACACTATTGTCTGAAAATAAGCACATGTCATCTGAGTACATTAAATTGCGAGTTTGTTCATCCTTGCTTAATAGCTCAACTCCTTTAACAGCACTGTTTTTCAACATCAATTCAAATTCAGAAACATAAATATTGAACAAAAGTGGGCTAAGAATACATCCTTGACGAACACCCGACAAGCCATTAAAATATTCCGTAATTTCATGCCGGCCAGTACGGACAGAGCACATAACTTCCGAGTACATACTTTGTAGTAATATTCACATTTTCCCTCTCAGGCTTCTTTTCCTCAAGACTGCCCACAGTTTTTCATGGGGGACGCAGTCAAATGCTTTTGAAAAATCAAAAAAAAAATACATAGAAGCGTCCACGTTTCTTTTAAAGGTGCTTTTGGACTATTGATTGAATCGAGAAGATATGATCGATAGTGCTATAACCTTTACGAAATCCTGCTTGCGATTCTGGAATTACATTAGTCTGCTCGGCCCATTCCGCGAGTATTGAATGCACTATACTGGACATTATCTTGGATATGATATTTAGAAGTGCAATGCCCCTGTAGTTGTTTGAATCTGAAGTACTACTTTTCTTGAGGAGAGGATGTATTAGGGCTTGACACCACATTTTTGGGTACTTCCCTGTGTTAAAAATGGCATTAAACAACAAACACGTGTATATTATCAAGGAAGGACATGCATTCGAATAGAATTCAGGACCAATCTCGTCACATCCGCTAGCCTTTCCTTTGTTCAGTTTTCTCAGAACGCTTTGAACTTTAGAAGTTTATATTTCTTTATCATACAAGTAAACATTTGTGTCTAAATCCTCATTTGTTGAAACTACTTCATGATCAACTTGTGTCTGTAATAAATCCTCTGATGATTCATTATTTCTGAGATTTAGTAAGTCTTTAAAATGAGAATAAAATTGCTCTGGTGTGGCCTTAGCCGCATTAAATAAATCATGAGAAAGAGAGAGAGAAAGAGAGAGAGAGAGAGAGAGAGAGAGAGAGAGAGAGAGAGAGAGAGAGAGAGAGAGAGAGAGAGAGAGGGGGGGGGGGGGGGAGAAGGGTGGGGATGGGGAGCGTCTTTTGGGGCCAACCTTAAACTGAATCATCATGGCAAGTACTGTTAATGCACTATTATAATGAAATATTAACCCCATATAAAAAAATAGACTCTCTCTGGTACATGTATGCCTGTCATAAAGTTGTTTTCCCCCCTTTGTCATGTCCTGTGCTATTATAATTATAACTCACTTCTTGTAAACCTTCCATCTGAGACTGCAGCTGCTCTGAGACCCGTATGTCTGCAATGCTAATTTTAAGGAACACGTAAGACAGTTCTTGATGAAGCTTCACTGGCTCCTTAAATTTGACAGCTTACTCCAACATTACAGAGCTGTATATCACATTTATTCACTCTATTGTTCTATTACACTAACGATTCATGGTTATTTGCTGCCTCCCATCACATCCTTTCTGGTCAAGCAATTATTACAGCATTAAAAAATAGTGCACAGCAGATGCAATAAATAAAGGGAGAAAGGATTGGGGGAGGGGGGGGGGGAGAGTAAGAAACTTTACTCTTTTGCGCTAGGTTTTGAGGAGCTCCAAGACAAGAGACTTACGGGAGGCTCCAACATTGTCAAAATTTCAAGGAAACTTGAACACGCATCGGTACAAATTAATCTAGTTCGGGCCTTTTGCGATCTTTGAATCCCAGTACGGATGAGCTGCAGCTTTGTCTCTCCAGTTATAGTTTTACACGATATTATATCTACTTCTGTGCCTGAACATTGTTGCTTAGTGTAGGTCTAATAGTCTGAATTGTACTCATTTAAAAAACTGAGTGCGGCAACTTTCGAACCACGTAAGCTATCCTGTATTTTGAAAGTTTACCGATTTTGGCACCAGAATCATACCATGATATACTTTTGTTCCACTATCTATGTAGTTTCTTTCGTAAATTAAAAAGAAAACAAAACAAAAAAACAAAAAGAACCAACAACAACCCAAAGTTATGTAGCTTTTGGCCCCAACTTGATACCGATGCACTCACATCCCATGTCACCTCTACCCCTCCCCTCTCTCTTCCCAAATCCCCCTTCCCCCAAGCTATTTTAATGACATAACAAAAAGAAAAACCTAACGCCTTCCGTTGCAAAATAAGGCTTGTTTTTAAGTAAAATGAATGTGCCTTAAATCGTGCACTAGAGACAACACACTTTATAAGTAAGCCAGACCTAGCTACAGGTATGTAAATCAACACAAAGCATGACATCCCCCTTCCCCCCCCAAAATCAAGTTCTCATTAAATATGGATGGTAATTGATTTTTCAGGTGATTGGTCAAAGTAGGGAACTGACCATTGTAAGAGAAAAATTCATCAAATTTTTTAAAAAAGGAAATCCCACAAAAACTATTAATTACATGAATCTGGAACGAAACCAACAAATTAAGTCACTTAGGCGATTGTTCTAGTCTTGAAACATAACATCAGTACGAAAATGTTCATTGTTTGTTCCAAATAGCGATGGTACAGTGAGATGAACATACCATCTGCTTGATACGATGAAAACTTTTCCCATGGAATCCGAAAGCTTGCTCAAACAAAACTTTATCCTCCACAGACCATTCGTCAGGAAAAGGAGTAAAGTTTGGAAGGTCTGACAGAGCTCTGTCAATATTGTGCTTGTGCCAAAACAACATTCCAAGAGCCTGGGGGGAAAAAAAGGGAAAATACTATGCAAAAAAAAAACCCACCAACATCATAACAAAAAAACAACCCATTTTTAATACCTTAGAGCCTTAGAAAAAGATCAGCATAGAAGCAACATTCCATCAAAAGCAATTTATATCTCATATTTTGATTGGTTTTATCAATTTGAGCTCTACATACTACATAATACTTTGGTGTTTCATCCGCATAATGTGACCTGTCTTTAAAGTCATTATACTGCTGTGTGGACTTTTCATGAAGTTAAAGGGGAGATAATTCGAGAAACACTGGGTAAATGGTATATTATATAAGTAGTTATTCCCCCTGTTTTTTTCTGCCAGTCGCTTTTAATATTTATTTTATTGGTTATGTTTGGCAAGAGTTTTATGGTGACCGAAACTGCATAAAGTCATAATTGAGGGCTTTGAGAGTTTGGGTTTGTGGTTGGGCTTTTCTTTTTCTACTCTCTTTTCAGTTTGTAGTACCAATTTCACATTTCATGAAAATGTCACCCTGGCCATTGGAAGGTTTATTATTGTAGAGTATGATTTGTCCACACAAAAATTTTACATCGTTTTTCCTCCACATGGCTACATGAAAGTTAATTTACTCCTGAACAAAGCAAAGTAAAACCAAAAATCTTTCAAATTACAATTACCAACCTTTGAAAATACAATTACCATATGATAATGGACACGAACAACCCTGCAACAATCTCTCATTTCATAGCTGCCTCGTATTCCATCAACTACTAAAATGTGGATTTAACCTTTTTGTTGCCCTCAAAATACCAAGCAAAACATCTTGTTTAAAGAGTAAAAAGAAAAAATTGTTTACGTACCTGCTCCATATTGTAATCATGAAGATCCTTAGCAATGCGAATGTATTCATCCACTGCAAGACAAGAAAAAAAAGCATCGTCACATTATAATTTGACATTTGATTAACTTTTAACAAGCTCCAAAACTGCACAGGAATGAAACATGGAAAGATAAAATGTTTAAAAATCAAGGATTGCTTAAAAATGTATTGACAACGACATATTTGTAACACTATACCACGTCATGTTTCTTCTCAGTCATATTGTTCAGTCTAGGGGCATTTGCAAGATATTTTGCATCTCTCTATAAAAACAAGGGACCAAAAAAAAAAAAAAAATTTTTTTTCAATGTTAACGTTCTAAAAATCAATAACAGCCTCGTTACACACAAAAAAATGACATTTCTCCTTTAAGAAAAACAAAATATTGAGGATCTAAAATATTCTAGATCTTGACCTAGTCTTTGAAAGTGGATGATTTTACAAGTCATTGCATTAAAACAAGTAGTAGCCTACATTATTGCATCACCAGTTTGAAAAACTTACCCTTAGCATCAGACAAATTTGGAGAGGGGGCCCATACTAACATGGCTTCAGGTTTTCCATCATACTTGGACTCTGGAAAAGAATAAAAAATTACAGGATCTGCTAGGAATTTAAGGTTTTTATCGAGGCCCTCATCATTTTATTAAAAAAAACAATTTCTTCGTATTAAAGGCCTGCTATCTGTATTTGCCTTTTCCATCAATAACTAAACAGTCCTTTCATGGGGGGAGGGGTCAATATGTCTGATATTGAAATTGTTAGAAAAATTGGACGTAAACAAATTTAAAGTCAAGAGGCACTTGTATGTGTTTCTTTATCAAAGTAAATATTTATGGTTACAAAAAATTTGCAGGAGTAACTTTTAATTTTTTTAATTTATTAATTTATTGAATTAATTTTTCTTCATTTTTTATTTTTTTTTTGGGGGGGGGGGGTGCCCCATGTGTAAAGTATAGTAGATCTAGCTCAGACTTTTTTTTAGGGCAAGAGCATCAATAAAACAATGCTTATTTTAGATTAACAAACCAAACATATCGACATGCTACGGAAAAAGTACAGAAATTACAATTAACAGCATCTTTATTGTATAGATTTGTACAGTTGAACCTAATCACTTTTCGGTATTCTTTTACTTTCCCTCCCGTTTCACATTCAACCAGTTGTCCATTTTCTAAATATTTGATTTTTCTTAAAAACGAGCTAGATCTATATTACACTAGATCTAGATCTATAAGGAGGGCTGCTGCCCCCCCACCCCCCCACCCCCAGGGAGTGGGCTAAAAAAAAAATCTAGGGTGTTAGGCCTACCCTACAGGAGGGCATGCCCCCCTTTTTTAACCCATAATTTGATATTTTAGCCTACAGTTTGGTTGTGTGATCTGCAGCAAACAATAGATCTAAATTGACTAAATACTGTCGCTGTCGTAGTTTCTTGATCCCTGAAATAAGTTGAAGCAGTAGTGCATTAAGTGCGGTAAAAATTTACTCACTTTTCTCCAAACACACATGCATAAAAAATACGAGGCCTAAAAAATACATACCAAAAAAAACCCCAACGTACAACTTGGGGCAGGATTTTGTAAGGAAAATAAAGTCATGAAGTGTGTGGGGGGAGGGTGCGCTTCTTTTTTAGGGGGGGGGTGCCTCAAGAAAGGTAACTTCTATCTCACCTGGGGTACATTCTGGGATATCCGCTTGATATTCATCCCCAATGCGCATTCCGCTCTCTGAAAACGCGAAGAATACAAATTCAAACACAAACATAAAAAGAACCAAATTCAACACACACCAAGAAAGTGATTCCATTTTTCATTTTATCCCTATCTTTTATGTTCAAAATAAACCAGGCAATCAATCAAATCTCTTTTGAAATACCGAGAACCTGTAATGAAATGTGTGACGTGAGGTACTGTTGTGGTTAGCTTGAAAACTTCTAATAAAACCAATCCAACTCACCCTGGTCCGACTCATCACTGCTATCGTCTGATTGCGAACTGGCATCTCTAGAAGGACGTCCATTCCTATAGTTCTCTCCATTCTTATCCGAAAGCATTATAATTGACTGCTCACAGCTTTTTTCTTCACACCATCAACCAATTTATGAAATTAATATCCAATTCGTCGCTCCCTGTCACCACGCGAACAACACAGAGCGGCTGTAGAGACCGCACAACAGCTTGCAGTTTGAGACGCCGAAATGATAAATAGGTCTACATTTTGTATTAATTATCATTAATGCAGCTTTATACAACAATTATCTCTGTAAATTCATACTCTTTATGTTCTATTAGATTTTTTGGGATATATTAATTAAAGATTAGTTGCTTTTTTAGAACATGACAAAATTAGATCTTTCTGTACATATTTATACGCCATATTTTGAGCCCTAATTTTGCAAACAACGATCAAAACACAAGCGATTGTTGTTTTCACACGTAGTGGTTAATTTTCGGGAATTACACGAGACTGATGCGATTGGTGTAGAAATATAACAAATATTTGATATGAAAAATATGTTCTTGTTTGCTAATTATGAATCTAAGCGTTAGCATGTCGTCTTTATCCATCTTCCATGGTTTGTGTCGCACAAGGGATTCCATAATTTCTTACATTGAGATCAAATTTTCTCTCCTTTCTCCTTAATTTACTTTAAAATCATAATATTCTGATACAAATATGATGGATCTTATTAGTAGTAATAAAACAAATCATTTGAATAGTAAATTGGGAAATCTATTCCTTTAGGTGTTGATATTCTCAAAAGTAACCATTGTAGGTTTCCGTATCTTTGTCTCCGTCTTCTTCACCGCCACCGCAACGTTATCAATTCCGTTTTGAAACCTTAAATCAACTATAGCAATCCAAAGAATAGCAATTGTCTTTCTCGGGTAGTTAGTCTTGTTACTGGAAAGCTAAAAGATACCAAACCATAATTTTTAAAGCTAAAATGTGTGCAGCATGAATAGTTTCAGCAGATACAAAAGTAAACTAAGCTAGCGCTTATTAGGATAAACACGATATTTCTCCGCCCAAACTCAACGGAAACCGTACATGCCCTAAAAAGCGAAATACTTGTCCACATTAAAATTTATGCTCAACATTATTGACACCGTCAAAATTTAGACCTGTAGCGATTCACCATCGGAATGTCCTTCAAAAGATTAGGCCTATAACGTACAACATTTCTCTTTTTTGCCAGCCTATTTTATTGTTAACGTCCTTTTTGTCTGTCTTGAGAGCAACAGCTTTTTTATGTAAACAGTTCATAGGTCAGGGGTGCACCATATTGTAGTCAATTTACAGGCCCAGGACAAGGAACTAGGAACACAATACATGTACTGTATAGTATAGGCCTACTCTCCTCGAGGCAGGGATATCCTGCAGTTCAAACAACAGTAGGCACTGGTCCTTCAAAGCAAAATATTTGTGTTTTTATCATTGTCCGCATAAAACATCCTACAGTGCTTTACTTTGCTAATTAGGCCGACGTGTGCAGAAATATTAATGTAGACTCTAGACCTAGATCTACGTAATTATTGGTTGCAGTGGGTGCACGAAAAAGATATTGGTGTCACTGATAGGGCCTTGGCTTTATTAGATCTAAGAAAACCTAGCCTAAGTGTGGGCCCACTGCTAATTATTGCGTTGTGTTGTGTCTCCCAAACTGAGCCATCACCGACAGTGAAGCCTTTTTCATTTTTGTTAGTTTTAATTGGGTCATTTTTAGGCTTCATGGGCCTACATGTGATTTCCTTTCCCGACAGTAATAATGATCACCCGTGAACATGTTACATCTGTTTTATTGTCATTATTATTTGCAGAGACTTTTCCATTTTTCAGATTCATAGATCTAATAGAGAAAGTCTGCATGGCTATCTAGTCTCACGTTGGCTATACCACAGATTTTCTACTAGATCTAGAAGAGATAATCTTTGGCTATACATCTTCTGTGGTGAAGATCAAATTAGCCTACGTGTATAAGGCCTTGGCCTTATTTGTTCTGTGGGGATGTGTTATGTCACCAGACCTCTTTAACATAATATGTACAGTGAAACAATCCTTAGAAACTTAGAGAATGTCCAGGTCTCAAAGTAAATGGAGAAAAGATTAATAACATCAGGTATGCAGATGACACAGTTTTGATAGCAGGCTCAGAAAAGGACCTTCAATTGCTTCTAGATACTGTAGTAACAGAAAGTGAACTTACAGGGTTAGTATTGAATGCAAAGAAAACAGAATGCATGGCAATATCCAAAAAAAGCAGCAAAGCATTGTTGTAATCTCATTAGCAAAGGTGAAAAGATCAAACAAGTCCAACAGTTTAAATATCGAGGATATGTGATAACATCTGATGCCAAATGTTCCACAGAAATAAGATGGAGAATTACAATGGCTAAAGCTGGTTTCAATAAAATGAGCCCAATCCTGAAAAATAGAAACATCTCAATGAACACCAAAATGAAAGTTCTGAAATGCTATGTTTGGTCAACCTTTACATATGGCTGTGAATGCTGGACAATCACTAAAGACAGTGAAAATAAAATAGAAGCAACAGAATGTGGTTTCTTAGGAGACTGGTAAGAGTATCGTGGAAGGAAAAGAAATCAAATGAGGTATAGTGCTTGATGAAGCCCACGTGGGACGCTCAATGTTAAAAATAGTCTTGAAACGACAAATGCAGTTTTTGGGACACATATATAGACATAAGGGTCTTGAACATCTAGCTCTCACTGGCAAAATTGAGGGCAAGCGAGGCAGGAGAAGGCCTAGAACAACATACTTGGGGAACCTAAACGAATGGGTAACAGGGAAAGATCAGGGAAACGTGGCTTTTTTTTTTAGAGCATCCGAGCAATGGAATGAATGGAGAACCATAATCATCGATGTCGGTCGCAGATCTGGCACTGGATGATGATGATGATGATGATGCGCGACGATCAGCGTTTAATTTAAGTTACATCGACTTGCTCATAAATTTTACATTAAATCATGCACATATTGGAAAGAACAGCTTATTATCTTTCATAACGGTTAGACTAGAAATTAAATGGGGGGGGGGGTCACGTGACACCAGTCTCTGTGGTGTTACTTCGATTAGAAGCCTATACTGTCTACTATAATTCATGTTCATAGGCATAATTTCTTTTGTCTGTTTTATTTTTAATGTTTTTAATATCGACGGTACACCCAGCCAATAAAATCAAAGTATCATTTCCCTATGTCTGCGACAACGACTACCGCCATATTGGACCCACAGGAGAAGACCCCAGGTGGGGTGAACAGTTTTATCCACAGACTTCTACGTTTTATCAGAACAATAATGTAAGGTCATCTAGGAGGCTGGTTAAGCTGCTTTGATTTTACCTTTCAGGACCTATTATAATAGGTCAGGACCAATCCGGCTTGAGAGGGATTAGGATCAGTATCCCAGCAGACAGACGAAGATAGCATTCTCTGTAAAAATATGTTTCAACTTTGGAATCAAACTCATGTCCTCTGTGTGCAGCTAAGATCGCCTCTCGTTTCGTTCTAGTTTTTCGTAAAACTAGTTTTACTTACGGCACTTGCAACACAAATAGGTAAAATGCCGAGGATTACAGGTGCCATGCAGAGAGTGAAATACAAAGAAAAGAACGGGGAGAGATAAGAAAGGTTTCTGTTTGATAGGAAATGTAAGGAGCAAATACACATCAGAACACCTGTTATAACCACCCACAGCAAGGGCCTCCATTCACCAAAGAGACCAGTTCAGCGTGTGCTGTTGGCCCGGAGACACAGTTCTGTGCCCGGAGATCATGATAATAATATGTGGTCGTAATGAAGAAAATGTCTTTTCTGTTGATCTGCTGGCTTGGTGGATATGATATCCTTTTGAGTTGATAAAGTGCTTCTGTTTTTTTAAGCCATCACAAGAACAAAATTTCCTTCCATAATGAATAGGCCTTACCCTAATCACATCTGAAAATACAATGTGTAATATAGTAAGACACACTCTTACAATGTGTCTCCTATAAAACATATTAACAATATTAAAGAAGTCGTAATCACCGGCGTGCGTGGTCGCGGTAGGCGCTTCGCTGTCGCAAGCAGGAGACTAGAGTTCGAGTCCAGAGTGAGAAGAACAGTAGCCTATTTCTGCTGAGATATTGTATCCCTCTCAGCCCGGCTCTGACTGGAAGGATTGGAAGCCCGCCTTCTAAATCGTTTAGCTTGTGTCGACGGAGGTGTATGAATCTAGCCTATAATTATATAACACAACATCTACATGTACATTGAAAAAAAATGAAGTCATAGTCTGAATTTAAAGGAGGAAATACATTAGTATTTGGGCAATCTGCTTTTTTTAATTGCTCAATTCCAGGAAAAGGTGTACCATGGCATTACTTTAGAAATCACCGACAGGGGCATATAATAATTATAGGCCTATATTATATAAAAATATAAAAATATATATTATATCGATAGACTGCCGAAGAAGTTGAGCTACACGTCATGGAGCGAACTTAAAAATTAAGCAGGTCCATAAAAGCCTATTACATTGTATTATGGTTGCTGGTTGGATGAGAAGGCGGAAGGAATCACAGAAAGAGTTTTTTTTTATAATGAAGAACCAAAGTGTGTGAGTCTCTTAAAGGGTGTTCTTATAATATAAAGTTTGAGCATCTAACAGGCCGCCACGCTGAAAACGATACCAAGGCAAATTCAGAGATATTGGAACAGAGCGTAGGGTCACTGATTGTTGTCAAGTATTGTGAACTTAAGCATGGGAAAAAGATTGTAAACTACATAGCTTGTTAGCTAACATGCGCCACGATTAAGGTGCTCCTATATAGTACAAACAAGCTGTTCCATTTTCAAGCCCACGAAGGAAGTTACTACTGCAATAAGTGCTAAAATTAACCTTATGCTAAATTACAAATGCATATATACTCGATGAAGTATGAAGGACGCGTTTCTGAAACGCAGTCATTTGAAAAGCAAATTCGGCTAATTATTTTTAAAGCTTTTAACTTTTATAACATAGATCTACACAGGCTAAATACCTAATGGCCCCGCCGACATAATTTAGATGATTAGTAGTAGGAAGAGACAGGCCTCTTCAACCCTGTCTGACTGTCACGACCAACATGAACTGAGTGAGATAAAACACTCCAGCGAACACTAGAGAGAGAGAGAGAGAGAGAGAGAGAGAGAGAGAGAGAGAGAGAGAGAGA